CGGGAAAATAGGATAAAAAGGAGGCTGCGTCCTCCAAAAATTTGAGAGATCCCAGGGGAATGTCCCATGGCCTCTCCCTTTATTCGAATAAAGCAAAAAGGACTCCTCTGTCTCCTCTTTGGACATAAACCTCTGGTGTTTGTGGACTAATTTTCCTGACACCAGCGTATACCGCAGGGAAGTCGGCACAGCCCGGCGCTCTGGTGCCTTCTGGCGCACCACAGGGCAATTGCCAAAAGCTGCCGCCCTATATGGGCTCCCACAGCAGTTTCCAAGACCTGCACCACCGAGCTCGCCTCCAAACCTCAGCAGCGCTGCGCACGAACCGTGTCCAGCGTCACCACCTCTTCCGCTGGGATGACGAGTGCCAGGAGTTACTGTGCCGGGTGCCCACTGGCCGCTGCCCCTGTGCACCCCCACGGCTCCACGGCGGCGGCTGCTGCTGCCACTGCCTGCCCGACCGGCGCGCTAGCACGGTGCAGCTGCCGAAAGTCACTCACGTGGACTCACCCGCCCCTCCCCAGCTTTTGCCGCTGGGTAGCAGAGAAGCCTCTGCAGTCCGGCGCCCCGGTCTGGAAACCCTGCCACCGGGTCAGCCCTGCTGGGCTCTACCACCCAGCGCACCCAAGTCGCCGCAGGCTGGCTAGCTTGCAGCACCGGAGCGTTATTGCACTTAGCACTACTGAACGCTGTCCATGTGAATTCCCCTCCGCTTGTCGTTCCCGTTGCCGGCAACCTAGCACTGCCAGTTTTTCCTATCCCTCTTTCACACGATTCTTGCTGTCCAAAGGGGGTTGCATCAGCCAACCCTGGCCCCTCCCAAAGTCTGTCAGTCAACTCTTTTCTGCTGTCCATTGGTGGAGACTATTTTCTTGCCACTTGATTGGAAGTCAAGTGTTGTCATGCCGTGCCTCCTAGCAACAAGCTTTTCCCATCCCATGCAAGCGGCACATGTACACATCCTCCCTCCCCAAGTCTATCACACCCAAGGCTGTCTCGTGGCAACAATGCCGAGGGGGGGAAGGGGACTATGGGGAGAACAGAGAATGTGTAGACAACAAACCACAATAACATAATCATACATCAATAAAACTCTTCTTAACATATACACAATATTCATCCCTTAATTGCAAGAGCCAATCCTTCACATTATCTATCTATAACATTAAACATGTAAAAAAATTACATTAAATAACATAAGCAAGGTAGATGTCTTTATTTATTATGCCTTGAGAAGTGCAGAATTTTCTCTCTGAATACTGAGATGGACTGTATCTCTCCATTTTATGGCAAGAGTCACTACCCTTATGACTCAAACTGCTTTTATATGTTTGCAGCCCTCATCACAAGTCCTGCTTTTCTCATATGAACTCATTCAAAAATTCTCATATGAACTATAGGGACACCTGAAAATTTTTCTCAAGATGAGAAAATGGCTTTATTTTGATTTGAAATTTAAAATTAAGCCCTGCTGTTGAAAAGCTTGGTTTACAAGAGAGCACAGTAATTCAGTACCAGGCAACAAGGCTTCCTCTCCTTCAGGGCTAAAAAAACCTTTCCCAGTCCCCCTTTGAGAGCCCACAAGCGTTTGACTGAAGTGTCTAGATCAGAGCATTCCTCAGGGAGAGGGGTAACTCCCTCCCTTTCCTTGAGGGAGGGAGTAAACACTTAGATGTTGCCAGAGCCTATTCAGTTTGCTCGTTGGGGACAGAAGAATTGACAAGTCTGTGTGACTTAACAGAGTGAACAGGCAGACATTTTAGCAATTGTACCACTTGTGGGCTCATTTCCATTATCTTACACATGAGCATTAGTGTATCTATAGAAAACTCCAAAACTATGGCACAATAACAGCAGGTTTTTATTGCTTCTCTAGAACAACCCTTGCCCCAGGCACATTCCTGTTGGCTTCTTGCTTAGAGGAAAGAGTCTGTCATGCCACAGCATGCACATACATGTAAACACATATACACATGACCCAGACCTAGCCCGTGGCATCACCAAAAACAAGTGAACATTTTGCTGCACAGTCCCCTAAGTAGGGTTGGTAAAGACAGCTGCTATGCATGGAAACTTGGAAATACAAAAAAGTGAGAGTGGATCTTTGAAATTCTTTAAGACAGTCTGACACCAACAGACGCAAGTTTAGTATCAAGATGGTGTTCATAAAATTTACACTTTCACTTTTAAACCAAATCCTTTGCATAGCTACTAGTTACAAACAAATCTGCACAGATAAGAACATGGCAGTTAAGCTGCAAAACTGGAGAACTATTAAGTTCTGCCTAGCAGTAGCTCACATACTGCTCAGGAACTTAGCCTGCATTTTTTCCTTTAGCAGTGGGTCACATTAGACAGAAGAATCCCTCTGAAAATTTCCCTGAAATAAGTATCTCTCTGAAAATTAGCATAAGTGCCTTGAGCAAGCAAGCCCCTGCCTGGAGAGATCACATACATATCATCTGTACCTACAGCAGTACAGGTTCAACGTGTCTGCACGACCCCCCCCCCCCCCTCTTCGGTTCTCGTCTCCGGGATGGGAGTCTCCGTTTCCCTCGTTCCCCCCCCCCCAGTTCTCCACTAGTGCATTCCTTGAGAAAGGGCTGTGCATTCACATTACCCTTAGAAATACAAGTACTGGGGAAAAGGCAGGTTTGTTGCTTTTAAAAGGCAGCAAATGTAAAGCCTGAATTCTACGTAACCCAAAAAGTGCCTTTCAATATATTGAATTGATCTGAATCCTTTCCCTTTTCTTCTTGAACATCAAATTTTGCTCCTATTGAACACAAATCTGGCAGATGAATTCATGAGACTGTATCCTCATAAGATTCTTGCAGCTTACACACCACAATAAATTTATACCAGCTTTGTGAAATGAAATGATGAGGGGCTGAATATTTACTGCTTGGCTGCTCCTTTCACTGCTCTGCACTTCAGAGGTAGAATAAAAAGGTAATCACAGCAAATGCCAGCTTCAGAGTGGAGTCTGATTATAGTCAGCTTTGCAACTGGAGCTCAGAACCAACTGATATTTTCTAGACTAGACTTGGAACTGAGCCAAAAAGAAAAACAAGACTTAACTGCTCCCAAACCACCCTGGAGAGTAACAAGCTTTTACTGTGTGTCATAGTAGAGTACAGAACAAAGGACAAGTTATAGTTTTTTAAATGTTTTTTCCTCAAAGAAAGCATAGACTTTGGAGTAAGGAAGGGATGCTGAGCAACCTGACAAAGGAAAAGTGAGATGCAGCCAGCCTGGTCTGAAGTGCACATGGCAGACTGCCTTGAGCTGAACATGCCTACAAGCATAATTCAGCAGCTCACTGAACACATCCTAAGGCGCTTGGATTTTCTTTAACATCGAGTACAGCTACTAGGTTTCAGCACCTCAACACAATTTCAATCCATGTAACAGGAGCATCCTGCACATAACTAGCACTCCTTACTCCAATTACTATGAGCAAACACTGCTCCTTTTTGGCCTCCCAAAAGAAGGATGTTTCGAGGCTGTGGGACAGAGCAAATTCAGCATCTGATTCCATGAGAGCTGGTAATATTTTGTGTCAGTCAGGATCATAAAAAATAGAGTTTTATTTACATTTATATTTTCATATTCAAATTCAATATAAATTATGAAATATTTACAACCATTTCATATGTACTATAGCTAAGAAAATGCATTGCTTTTCCCCCAAATTCTTAAGTTATTTATTGGAGCCTCTAAGACAAAATCCTACTGAACAATAGAAATCAGTCAAAGATGCAGAGGTAAAAAAATAAAGTGCATTTATAAGTTGTCCATAGCTACCTCCACTGGACAAGGCCAAGTCACTTACTACTGAGGCACCCAGTGTTCCACTTGAACCCATCTCAACTCCACAGAGGACAGACAGCTTCTCCAACCCTCTGTTACAAGTCACAGGACATCAGCGCTCCCTGCAGCTTGTGCACTTGAGCAAGACAATGTACATCAGGAGTCCAGCACTTTTCAGAGGCTGGATCTTTTCTGAACAAAACACAGAAGATCCTTTTGTAAGAATTTATCTTTTCATCTTCAGCTGAGTCTTTCCTGAAGTCAGTTCCAGACTCCCACAAAGCCAGGACTCTGGCATATTGCTGATGCTAGAGATGGTTATAGCTCCTCAAATCACCGGAGGATCTTTCAGTCTAACAGACTAATGTTAAAAAGGTTTGAAAAGTTCCTGCAGTTGTTCCCTTCACAGTAAGTCAGATTTGGCTTTTCAGCTTGCAGCTTTTCTTCCCCTTTAGGAATGTGTGGTTGGTAGGTTAGAGTTGAGAGGTAGAGAATCAGTTGGTTACTAGAGAGCCAAAGACACTGTGGACAAAATCCAGTTTGAGAAGCATTAGTTTGCATTTTCTCCTATCAAATTAGAGTACTGAAACATTAAATACCATATTGCTTTAAACAAAACTGTCTCATAAATAAATATTAGAACAGATCAAAATAAATTTGTTTACAATGAAAATCCACTTGAGCGAAAATAATAAACAACCAAAAAACTCAACTCAAAATGGTTCCCAGTGGAGACAACTATGACATTAAAAAATCTCACCTAAACAACTCAAACACGGTAGAGAAGCTTTGCTGAAGGTGGAATTTTTGTTTAGTTAAAATCTGCTGGTTTTCTGTATATTTAAGACAGCTTTATCCAGAGAGTGTTGAGACTCCTATGGGAAATACAGTTTTAAGAAAGGCAAACCATACAGTTATGATTCGGACAAGTCTATTTATCTAACCATTGCCAATGCAGTATTTTCTCCAACAGTCTTGCAACTTTTGGTTTATGTGGAATGGCAGTAGGCAGCTCCTTGCAGAAGGCTTGCACCATGTCGCTGGGCATGTTCTTAGAACGTGACTTCACAAACAATCCTGCCTTTGCAAACTTGTGTTTCATCTCCCTCAAAACCTGGGTTGTCACCGTGTGAAAGGACAGCCATAGTGGAGGGCTGAGATTCTTCACTTACAGGACGTGTGTTGTCATCTGTCCAGAAGAAAACCAAGTCAAGACAAGTCAAAAAGTGCCACAGCCAAGCATTACCACCTTAAAGCAAACCACACAAACTTGATTTGCACAAGCTCAACTGCACTTTTCTTGCAGAAATGGAAATCCAAGGCCATGCTCCAACTACCTCTCTCCTGCTTGCCTTTGTTAGTTTGGGAGCCCATTCTTGCCACTGCCTGTCCTTTCTGGAGGTGTCTGCTCAGTTTAGTAGCGCTGAGCAAGCTGAATTTGTGTGCTTAAGCCATAGAAGGCTAAAAAATCCAACTAGGAGGATTTTAGCAGGTCTTGTGTCTTTAGGCTGCTGAATGCAGGCATCAAGAGCAACTCCTAGAGACCAGGCTCAGGATAAAGTGGGGGTGGGTCCATGCTGATTTGGAGAGGAAGGCCTTTCCTACAGACTAACCCTGTCTGGCTGACGTCCCTGTGTGTCCTTCCCACTCCAAGTGAGAATACACGAGAATGACCCATGTAATGTAAGGACTCAGCATGCCTTGAGTTACTTAGAGGGATGCAATTTCAACTTTTGATGTTTAGCTCATAGAAGTGTCCTTTTCTCTACTCGGGTGCTTCAACAGGGCACTCCCAAACACACGCCACTTGCTGTAGCAACATGTCCTGCAAGAGACAGGCAGGAAATCCTAAATTTTCCTATCAGCTAAGCTTCCCATGGGAAATAGAGCATCCCTTTTCAAAGGCCATGCCACAATTCAGAGGATAGTTACTTTCATTTGTTTACCTGCAACCTTTTCATTTTTAAAGCCAATAGCAACACTGCTTACATGTTGGTAAAACTGAGCACTAAAAAGACATTTGCAATTTGTTTGCTCTTGTTCAAAAAGACAAAGTATTTGGAATATCTGATATTCTTTACAAATTAATACTCTCTAAAGTGTTCAAGGATGAGTCAGCCTTGGCAAATCTGAAATTCAATTAAAGTATCTGTCTTCTCTATCTTACACCATCTAAGCTAGAACAAGACTGACTCCGCAAATGTTTTCTGTAAGTAACTACTTAAAGCAGATCTAGTAGCAAAGCAACACTCACTCATCCAAATGAAATCTCCAAAGAGACAAAGGGATAAGAGACATCTTTGGAAAAGTCTCTTTGCTCTTGAAGTATGCCTCTAACTTTGAACTATTCCTTCATAGACTTTGGCTTTTAATTCACATTAAGGTTGTGTTTCATTTGAAAACAAAGACCAAGTGTCAGAGCTAAGGGCTAAAACAAAAGTTAAGATTAAAATAACCCTGAAAAATTCAAGCCCTGTGAGATGCTATGAAGGCAACTCCCCCTAATTCACAGCCTAAGAAGCCAAGTGCAAATGATCTAGCAAGGCAGATGAAAGAGTCGAAGTACTTTCTGATGATGCATGTGCCTCCGGAGCAGATTCATCTGGTCCCTGTACAGAATCATATCCAGATGATGCTGTTTCACTAAGATTGTCCTCTTCATTAACTATAGTGACAGTAGATAGAGGTCTTTGGCCACTGGATCCTGGGGCTTGCACAGGCTCAGACCGTGGTTCTACATCCATCTTTGTGAAAAAAAGAGAAAATGGTTAAATTACAACTTGGCAGGAGGGTGCATCTTTCTGGGAGAACAATGCCTGCAAGGACTGAGTCTGGAGAACTTTTATGCAGGGGGAAAAACATGAAATGGAATAGAGGTTCTGCTGTTAACCTCCAGTATCAGAGGTGAAAACCAGTTACTGCCTAATTGAGTGGGAAGTTCAGGCACAGCTTCTGCATTGTTTTCCCAGTATCAGGAAGAGAGTCTTCCTTCCACTCAGTGCAGATCTGCCTCCCCCAGGCAAACTCTGACTTACATTTTAGCTGGTCCAGGCAGCATCAGGCACTGGCAACAGCATCTTCCTCTGGCACTTGCAACAATGAGCAATTACAGAACACATCAGAATGCATCCTAAGAAATCAGGCAGTTTCAGGAACATCATACATGCTAACACATTCATTTTTCAAGGGCTCCAGGTACTGAGCAACTGAAGAGAAGCTGGTTTCAGGCAGAGTATGAGGTGTCAAAGTCTGCCTGAAGATTTGAGAAACACCCTTAGCTGTAAGCACAAGAGTTAAGAGTAATTCTGTCATTCTGACTCAAGGCATGAGTCACCTTTGGCTGACATTCTGCCCAAGCCTTTAGGCAATACCAACTCATACCAGGTCAGCTGCAGGCTTCCCTAAAAGGGACACCACAATTATTCCTACAGCATCTGGCCACAGACATGGCAACAATACCTGTGCTTATCACCTGCACTCTAGAGACAGCATGAAAAAAGCTCAAGATGTGGTAACAACATCAGTGTACCTGCAGTGGCCACCACAACAACAGCCTCAACACTTACCTCAACACCCAACACTTTGAGGATGTCACATTTGCACAGAGGACATGTCCCATGCTCCAGAAGCCAGGGGTCAATACAGGTCTTGTGGAAGACATGGCTGGTGGAAGAAGGTAGCCAACAGGTTAGGTTTCATACCAGGAAGATTGCTCATGCGCCAGCTATGAAGAAGCCTTTTGTAACACCAAGAATTTATTCTTTCTAGAATGGATGACCTTATTTTGCCACAAGTTTCAGCTGAAAGCTGTGGATAGTTGATCTTCCAACCTGTTTGTGCTTATTTGTATCCCAATACAACTTGCTAGAATTAAGCATTATCATTTTTGCTACACCTGAACAGTCTAAAGCTATTTTTCCAAAACTGTGTACAATACATTCCCAGCTGATATTTAAATGATACAACTATTGACATCTCAGCTTTAGCTTTAAGGTTAACTTCTGTCATGCAGATGACTAAATAGCATTTGTTTATGTTGTAATTAGATAGGCAAATCATCTCACAGAGTTATGTCCTCAAGATAAATTGTACTCCTACCCATTTATGGTGTCTGTGCAATCATGTGTATTCCAAGTGGGTTATTTGGCAGGCTGTACACTCAAGAAAGTAGATATAGCTCAGCCATCACAGATGCAAATGTGTGCTTCTATTAAGACACTCAATTCCACAATGGGTTTAAATTAGGCCACAGATTTAGGGATGACTTGAAATCCTGTAATCTGCCTGTTCCCTCAGCCTGAATAGAAACAGCAAGGCAAACAAGCACTGCTCATTATTCATCAGCCCTATTACGAGGTAAGTGCAAAGATCACCACATCCAGTGTTCAGCAGCCCACTCTCCAGCAGGATCCAAGGATTCTCCAGATCAGCTCACATAATTGGCACTTCTTTCCAGCTGCACCAACATCATGTTTGGAATAAAACTTGAAACTTTCTTGACGCCTGACTATTATTTTAAGTCCTTGAACTTAATACTGGACTTGTGAACCTTTGCAACTATAATGCCTTTCGTTTGACTCCCTGGACAAGAATGTCCTCGGCAAATACCTACACCTGAGGGACTCAGATACCACCAATGTGATTCACAGGAACATTCCTTTGATTGGTTCTTTCATAGATACAGTTAAATGCTTTCAACAAATAGGGGCTTAGTGTTGAGATCAACCACCAAAATCAAGCATGTTCTTGCAGTAAATACCAGTTTATAATTCACATGAGGGAGAGTTTCATATGGTTGATATCACCACTCGTGAAGATTATCAAGTCCATGTAGTCTAGTCATTTTAAGCTAGTGTGCCTCTGAGAGCTACATTTGGGCCACAGAGGAACGAAAAATCACAAATGTACGTAAAAGCAGTCTCAGAGCAAATGCAGCAAATTCGTGTACAAAGAACACAATCAAAAGATGTTACTCTATTCTTACCCAAATAAGTTATGCTTTGTTTGCAGGTTCATACCAAGATTAGCAGCGTTTATAGGGAAATATGAGAAGTCAGGTCTCCTATCAAGCAAAGTGTCTGGAGCCTGTCTACAAGTTTCTGTACTCATGGCACTTAGCCCACTAACAAAACTACCCACGAGTATAAACATGACAACTGGATAATCATTAACATACATGCCTGAAGGGTTATTCAGTTTAGGAGGTTTTTTTAAGTATTAGGCATTAGATCAAGGGAGTTGGTTGATAACACCTTAGCAGACCAACTTTGTATAACCAAAACAGCTTAGAGGTCCTACTGCTTGGGAGGAGAGAAAGCCTTTGGAAAACTGTAGCCTGATGCACAGGTAACTCCAGCTGAGACGTGCTAGTGTTTGACAGCACTGCTTAGCACACAACAGCAGATACCCTTTTTCTATTCTTCAGAACTTCATTTTCCTACATCAAAATGTTTCCAAGTGCTTTTTATAACGCTCCCTAAGGGTTATGACACCTCTTCCTTTGCACAATTTGGGCAGTTTATGTGGCAGCCCTCTGATTTTAGAGGCTTGGCCAGAGCAGTCCCTGTCAGCAGGCACAGGGGGAAATCCCACAGAACAAGTTTCCTTAAGCCGAGGCAGCTTCATTGCTCACCTTAGAAACAATCACATTAAAGCCTTAGTGCTTCACTACTGGGCTTCCACAGCAGCACAGCAGTGAGATACAAGAGGAGAGAATTCTAGAAAAATAAACTGCTATGGCTCTATTTTGGTCTCTGTTTCAGAGGATGCATACAAAAATATAAATGCTTTCTTTTAAACTACAAAAGTCATCATGGTTTAACAAATTTAGCAGAAACACAACCTTCTTAGTAAACAGTAATTTAAGGGACAAGAAATGGACAACATTTTGCTAATTACCTGCAAGTTATTGGTATCATTCTTATACACCAGCAAAGGAAGAAATCCTTAAAAAGTCCTGGCATTCACCTGAAGGACACTGTGGTCTGCCAAGTTATGTGTGTCAATCCACTCACGGGGAAGTGATGAACACAGGCCATTGAGGCACACTACAAATGCGTATTCACACAGTTTGTTGTTCAAAATGTTTTGATAGATATTCAAGAATTCTCACTGTACAACAACCTGATGAAAGTTTGTTAACAAACATGGCAGAATTTTGGACAAAGGGACAGTTTGTAAGACAACTTACTTGCAAGTCAGAACACGTATTACATCATTTGGCTTGTACTGCTCAAAGCACACAACACAGGAATCTCCATCTGGACCAGTTTCCTAAAACAGTGAAATGAATTTACAGCTTTAACACACTTCCTCTGAACTCCTCAAGCTTCCTCTGAACTCCAGTCAGATTTACTGCAGATGAAGGGGACTAGCTAGAGTTATCCATGATGCTCCCAAATATAATCTTATATAAACACACTTTGTGGATTACTCACAGTCAAGCTGGCACTTCAAAGCAAGCATTGAAAGTTTAAACTCATGGTTTAGAATTCCAGCTGAAACTGTTACTGGATTACTGGAGGCACTAGTGTAGAGGTTTAGAAACTGCTACTCCAGTTTCAGTTACAAGATCAGCCAGGGAAACTGATTAGATGCTAGTTTATGCTTAAGCATGCATGCCAGCAAATTAGGTCCTCTCACATCAGCAGGACTATGAGCAGCAGCTAAAAAAATAAACTGATTTATATGAATATAAGTCTTAAGGTCTGGAAAAGGACCTGGTCTGAAAGAGGAACTGTCACTGCAACCAAAAGTTACAAGCTCAGAGAGACTTCTGCATCTTGCTCCAGTAGTAGGGAACTTCTTGGGTTCCATGCAAAGGCTGTGCTGTAATGCAGGGGAGATCACAGGGTCAGTCCTACCTTATCCCCTTCCTTCAGGGTGCGCAGCTGCATTTGTTCAATGGCCTTCTTAGCCCTGGCCCTCAGCTGCCGCTGTAACACAAAGCAGTCCTGCTCAGAGACAGCCATTTTTCTATTCACTTACTAATACTTACCCAGGTGCCTACTGCAAGCAGGCAACAGTTTTAAAACCCAGATGTTATCAAAACAAGCCAAGTAAGCATGACCATACTATATGGAGACAACATGAAACAGTTTCGGGACATACTGATGCAGTTACTGACTGGATGACACACCAAGACAGCACTTACGTCTGCTTTGGTTGTACCTAATCTTTTCACAAGGCACAGAAATTGTAAGGATTTTTTAGTTTGAGAAGATGCAAGGTAATACGTTGATCACATTAGACCCAGCCAAAACAAACACAAGCCTTCAAACTGATTAGGTACAGAAGACTGAACATTGAATTAAAAAATTGTTTTATGTTATACTCACTTTAGGACACCTTCCTGAAGGACTATCTTCTCTCTACCCGGTGCACTTCAGGCAATTCTGGCAGTGCCATCCCCAGCACAACAGTAACCTCAGGGACAGACTAGACTCAAGTTTTGCAACTAACCAAAGAGCCTCTTTCCAATTCCACTGCTCTATGCAGGAGCCCCACACTGTTGGCTTTCTAGCATTACATCTCCTCAGGCATTTTAGCTCAGTTACATGAAACTTTTCCAAGTGGAGTACTGGTGGCACAAGTGCAGAAGGACAAGTGGGAGGAGGGCTGTTGCTGACACCTAACAATCTTGCAAGGACTGGCCATTCAAGTCTGCATAAAATTCCTTGTGCTGCAGCAGTTAATAGCAAGCAAACTGATTTATACATCCCCCTGGGACCCTGTCAAATAGTCTTGGCACAAAATGAGCTATTTTGTATTAGCATTGATTTTATGCCCTAAGAGTATCCACGTGCATGCTTTAAGAGTTTAATAGCCGACAGCTACTAACAGCTATCAAGGAAGATATACATACAATCCAAAGGTGAGGGATACAGATGTGCAGATTTATTTAGAAACAAGAACTATTGAGGTTTTCTTGGAAGTTTGTGAAGTTCTGCTGAACACATCAATATATGTTTCTGTATGTCAGTTATGGTTAACTTTGAAATGTTGTCCTTGTCAAGGTTTGAGACTGAAGCCATAGAGCAGCAGCCACATACTCCTTTTTACTGAGGCCCCCAAAAGTCTGAGCAGCAAACGTGGTAACATCAACAGAGCAGGAATGCAGCAATATAAGTACTTCTCATACATGGCCAGAACTGGCACCACTACTTGTTATTAACTGAAAACCAAACTTTCTAGAAATGTACTCCTTCATACAGTATCTAATCTACACATCTGATGTCAGGCCACGCATATTAGACAGGACCCAACTGGCTGCACTGTATAATTTACTTGGAACAATATTTTAAATTTTGCATGGGCACCAGTTTAATTGCTCCTCATTAAATGTATCAATGCCAAAGTCACCTTGAACACTGATTTTGGCAAGTACAGCAGAACACCCCTCCAGGAGATGGAAAAAGGTTGCAGAAGAAGCTTTATGTTGAATAGTCTACCAAGCTGGGAATGTCAAAGTATTTTGAGAAGCCAGGTTTTTCAAGTGAATGTGAAACGTGAATTATGTTAGAACTATAGAAGCCCCAACATACAAAAGCTAGAAAAAATAGCTAAGTTGAGGAAATAGAATCAAGATATTACAAAACAGGTCAGGTCTCAGCTTCTATCCAGGCTCTGGAATGTTGGGAGTAGTGAGGTACCAAAATGGTTTCCCAGATTTGGAGTTGCTTAGTCCTAAGACTCCTTGTTCATAGCTGCCAATTTTGCCTCCAGCCCTTTCTGTAGAAGGGTGCCTTCCTGGCATCTTGTGAGCACAGTCATGGCAGTACAAACCAGACAGCTTCCTGAGGAGGCTGGGAACTCCTGCTTTTCTCCTGTAAGCTAATGAAGTTCTTCCCCACAGGTAGCCACAGTTAGCTACTGCCATTGAAGCAGTTTTGAATTGTTGAAAGTTGAGCAATTTGCCTCCTCCAAAGCCATTAATTAGGTCATTTCTCAGCTGCAACATCTAATCTTTATGAAATCAAAGCAAGCAAAGACTTGAACTGAAATTAGAAACCAGGCCACAGATAACATCATGGGTGATTTTGCTCTGTTAGGAAAGGTTACTATATTGAGAACTGAATTTGTCAGTACTCCACTGACTGGAAAGGTAGAAAGCCAACTATCATACTTCCTCAATTTTCCACCTTCTTGCTCACTGACCTCCCAATGCAGGAAGAGACTGCAGAGGTGGAGACTTGAATTTCAAGCCCAGAAGAAAAGATGCATTCAAGAAGGAACTAGCAGTTTGCACAGTGTAGCTTGCTCATGAGGGAAGAACTACTCCGGTTTAACTGTCAGGTTAGGACAGATGTGCTACTAAACTTCTCTTTTTGCTTGGACCAGAAGCTGACATAACTGGCTTTTCTCAACAGTCACTCAAGTCCAGGTAATTTGGGTTTTCAAAGGGCTGAACAGCGACAGGAAAGCCACCAAGATGTACCATACAAGCCAGGATGTTTTTTGACTAATATTCAGTACGTAATTGGAGCCAAAGCACTTAAAACTCTCAAACTTTGGATCTACACTGGAAATCCAATCAGCAGCTAACAGGGCACATGGTAGCATCACCTTTTACTTGAATTAACAAGCACTTTCTTGTTATTCTTTACTTACCTAAGCACTGTGAGGTCAGTCTGAGATGCTAGGGTATAAAAACAATTGAAAACAATTCTGGGTTGTCTTTGAGTTTCACTTTGACAGAATAGTATATTTTTACACCCTGATAGCAGAGAAGCTTGCTTCCGTTCTTATATTCTACAAAGCACTTCTTGGGTCTCCTTAATTTCAGTTCTGCTGAAATCATGTGGAACTGGTATATCATTTATCAATATTATTTTTTCAATCTGCAGTAAGCTCCTTGTGTACATGGAACCCAAGACTGCTAGCCAAGCAGACTGCATTTTCCCAGTACCATCTATCACTGAGACATTAATAACATCTGCAGTTTCTTGAAAGCTTGATAACTCACAATGACCTGTTGCACTCTTAAGTACCTTCAAAAGAGGAAACATTTCTATTTGATTTAATGAACAGTGAATAGAGCACCCAAGTTTTCCTGTCCAGATTTATTTAGCAATGTTAAACAGAGATGTGTGACTAAGGTAGATGGCAGGGATTCATCAGCAGGAAACTGCATCTCTGTCCACAAATGTCAGCAAGAGAATCAGATTACAGAGAAAACTCCACATTTCATCCAGGAGTGCCAATGCTACACCTCACAGGCAGATGAAAATTTCCAATACTTCCAACCCTAACTGAATCTGTCACTGTAATTCTCGGAAAGCTTTCAGTCAGAAAGCAGTTTTCAACAAGCGGCAGCCTCCCAACGTGTAGCTAAAGTCATGCCTCATTTTGCAGACAAACTTCCAGTCATGTCTCCTGTTACAGCAAGGACATAGGCAGTGCTATGTGGGAAGGATGAGGGTCAGCTAAATGCAGATTAGCTCTCTCACTACATTAGTCCCCACTACATCAGTATTACAGCTACACTGCAGTTCAGAGAATATTTATAGGAAACACAGCTAGCTGAGCACAATCAACTTTTCTCCACGTAGTTTACTTTTGGCTGTTCTTTAGGGAAGTCTTAAGCTGTGCAAAGATGTATCTCTTAGCATTTTAAAGATCAAACAAACAAATTCAGTAATTTTGGTATTTAACCAAAACTTAACCAAATCTCAAGATCCACACCATGGAGGGATGGGAGGTATAAAAAAACAACGGTCCAAACTCACCTGGTCCCTGGACTGGGCCCTTGCAATAATGAGTCTCCGAGCAGAGTAAGAGACATAGCAGCCCACAGTTGCTGCTGCCACTACGAAAAATGACACAGAGATGAAGAGGATGGTGAAGATATTCATGGAAAGACTGTGCTTTTTGCCCACTTCAATGACCATGGTGACTTTCATGCCGCTCTGAATCTGGCGCAGGATTTCCATGCCTTTCAGGTTGCCAATCATAATTGCAACGATCTTTTCAGCACCTGGAAAGAAGGGGAATCCATGCTCAGTTCCCAAATGTTTCATCAGAGGCATTGTCTTAGTTGTCCTGCTTCAAGTACTAAAGAAACTGCTGTGGGGAGTTTCTAAATAGTATTTATAGATTCAATATGAACTAATGGAACAACTGTCATCACTATATGTTTGTACAGCTGAAAGCATGTCCCATTACCTATGAGCGGCATAAGTGAACCATGTTTAGAATTCATTCATCTCTGCAGCATTCCTCACTCCTATATAGGACACAGACTGTCCTATTTTAGACACAACACTTTGGCAATTTACATTTTAATGTGCCTTTGAATTACATGAAGTTAAAAAGAAATAGTCTGCAGAGTAAGGTCACTGGGGATTGTGATATCTGTATAGGGATTGCTTTCTGTAATGGATCCAACTCCCTCCTTGCTCCACTGCTACTTCTTAACATCTCTCTTTCTAAATTTGACAATAATTTTGAGTACTTCCCCAGATACTGAGCAATCAAAGACACAGATCACCCTTCACTTCTGTATTTTCAGCAGCAATAGAGAAATGATTGAAGGAAATTGCATTGTGAATTCTAAGTGTTTTTGTGAGTTACTACTGCAAATTCAGAGGGAAGCAAATATGAAGGGATATGTGTTTGACTTTTAAACAGTTGGGAGCAAGATGCCAAATGCCATCCTGATTTTAATAACAGGTTTTATTGACTTAGTTGAACACCACAAGTCAAAGGAACCAAGGTGTTTAAGGAAAGAAGAAATTTCAAGCAACTCCAGTCAACAAGCACAGACAAGAGCAAACTGGTTTCCTTTCAGTAACATGCAAGGGCTTGAGGACACTTGATACTGTTTGTAGAAACGTTAGAAAGTCCCAATATTACAGAGAAGCTCTTAAGAGCGGGGGGGGGGGAAAGGGAGAAAGGGTGATAAGTAAATTATCACTGCTCTCTCTAAACTCAATTTGATCACCTGCACAACATTCATAATAGACATTGCATGGGGGAAGAATAAAGACTGTTACAAAGTGCTATTTTTAGCTAACCTCCCAGCCAAACACTCTTTAATGGGAAGACCAACTGTTTTTTCCTCTGCTGAGTTACTCAAGTTGTTTCCCTCTGCTGAAAGTTATTCAATTTTCAGCTACCAAAAAACCCTAGAATTGGTGTTAAACCACAAAGGCTGCTATTGGACAAAGTGTTTATTAGTTTTCTAGCTTGTTCACATAATGCTTGTGATCCAACACAGCAAGCAACTTTCCTCAGTAGGACAAAACTCATATTTTATTCAGAAAGCTCCTTGTAAAGACAATGACATCACACAGAGGAAAAAAAAGCATATCCTAGACTGCAATTACTCTTAAGGATGAACTAGGGCTTATACATCATATATAAAATGAGCTGGAGTAAGGTGTTTGCAGCAAGCAAAGACGTCAGAAACAGAGACTTGCTTTCATAGGCATGGAAGAAAGTCTGGAAGAACAGGCAACAGAAAATAGGAAGCTGCCAAAAAAAAGCAAAAAGGTTTGCTCTACCCTATTCCCCTATATTTCTGTATGTCTCACAGTAAATCTATCTTGTGGTTATGCACAACACAAGACACAGCATAGCAACTCCTATTAATGAAATGTCACCATCAGCCTGCAAAAACATTCCAACTACTAAGCCATCTATTGTGAACAACTTTTACCCTTAAAGAAAGAAACATATTATTATGAATTATGTTCTATTTTTCCAATTTATCAAACAACAAGATTAAATTAATACAATTAAAGTATTGGAGATGAATACAATCAAAGTGCATATATTTGAGAATATACTAAATCTGGCAGTAAGTAATTTAGAATAATTGAGGTTCGTATAAAGCATAAGCAAAACCGGCCGGGGAAGGGCCCCCCCGCGACCGGGGATACGGGGAGTGGCTCCCATTCCTCACGTACCAAAGCATCCAGGCTAACAATCCCACTTATATACTGTAGGCTACAGAAGTTTCTAGAAAACTCCTCCTAGTTTCTATTCCTAAAATCTATGTCACTATGTTGTATGGCACATGCTCTACTAATGGGTTAGGGGGTCTCTCATCCTTTTGAGGGTCTTATTTCTGATGAAGGCTCGTCGTCTTCCTCAGTGACCGAGGTGTGACCTGCAGGTAGCGCAGGCGCACTATGTGACTGAGCAGATGTTTTCCATAACAAGACTTTAATTGAGTCCCATGCTTGGAATCATCCCATTTTGGCCCATTTCAAGGTCAAAACTTTCTATTTCTAGATGCTGCTTGTCAGACCTACGTCCTTCTACTATTCTTGTTTGACTTTCTTCCAACCTTCTTCTTCGACTCCCAACATCTGGAAGATGTCCTTTGTCCTGTCTCACCCATCTCCCCCCTCACTCTGTTAACAACTGTCTTCTATTGATCTAAATACAATTTTGTTAGTATAGTTACAATTTAATTAGCACGAATCACATTTATCACACTATTCAATTTAAGTTTCAGACTGCATAGTACAAAAAGATGTCATCAGATGACAGCTTTAATCCTCACTGGCATTTCTCAACCCCAGAGATTGGTTGGAATTTCAGCTCTGCTGCACATGCAAATGGCTAGCTGATGGCTTTGACACTGGCACAACAAGGGCAGAAGTGAGTGGCCATTTCCATCAGCACATTTGCAACAATTTCTGTGCTTCTATAACAAAAGCAAGAGGATCATCCCCACCCAATACTTCCTGAGCTGCTACTTGGGTCCCATTATCACAGGTACTGAAACATGTTATGGTGGCCTTGAAACCACCAGCCTAGAGAGAGGCTTCTGAAAGGGCTTGGCCATCACGTGGGAAACAAGGTATTTGAGGGGACATCTGCAGAGAGATATCTCAAGCAGAGTAGCTTCTCTCAACCGTCAGCTTTTTCCCTGCCCAGACTCCAGCCAAGCAGAGAGAAGTCGATTAGTTGTGCACAGTAAAAACCTCACAGAAACCCGAGTCCTTTTCCCAGGTGTCACCTTTTGTGGTTTAGAAGTTTCTGAAACAGTTTTTAAGGGACGCTAGAAGGTGAAATGAATCTGCTGCCTGTTTAGCTGATAATGGGCTAAACACAAGCAAGACCTGTTCAGTTGAAGATTTCCCAGCTAGTTTCCTTTCCCATTTGTGAAACTGGAGAGGGAAAGTTATTAAACTCTTTAGGAAAACACAAGCTGCCTCTTTGGGAACCTCCTAAATTGTAAGGCAGCAGCTGGTCAAAATCTGAAGGAAATTGAAGCACACAGGTAGATGAAACACACAAACCCCAATGGGCAGGGAAGAGCTGGGGCACAGCAAATTGGGCCCACAAGGAGACTGTATGACTGGGATCAAAGTTACACCTTCTTGGATCCGTTTGACTTAGATGTAGAGTGGAGTTGCATCTATTTATAGCACTATCAATACCTATACAAAACTCTGCCCTGCAAAGATTTCACTTGTTCTGCCAGTACACTTCTGCTCCTAAACATGAAGTTACATCTTTGACAATTCAGTAGAGAAATGCGTGAGGGAGTCATAGAGCAGAGAGCATTAACTTTTGCATAATACACACCTGCCTTTTCACATTCATTTAAGGTGATTATTATAATCCATTGCTACATTTTTGTGTGCTACAGATAAATCTATCCTGAACCAAGCAAGCTGTAATGCCTGGAGAACACTTGCCTCACAATATTTAGAATACAATGGTACCTTTAAAATGCTCACTTTTAGCAATAAAACCACAATCTAATAATGCATTAAAACACATCAAGGCAAGATACAGATCTCAAGGTCAGACAAATCCACTGACCAAAGCCATCTCAAGAACTCCCAACTCCCTCACTCAAAAGTAATTTCTCAGCTCGTTCAGGCATTGGAACCATTTTGCATTGTTTAAACCAAACAAATTCAGCTTCAATTAAGTAATGAAAGACCCCTTCATTTTGGTTTAAAGGCCTCAGTGTAACTTTGGGGAAATTCCATAGGTCTTTCTTGGACAGCGAGAGCCAAACCTCTCTAATGTCTCTACCACAATTTATCAAGAACAGGATGTAAAACTGATGGACCCTTTTTCTCTTTGGGAACAGACCAAGCTACAACACAGTTTAGTGAAAATATGTGAGGAAGGCAATAGTTTTGAGTGCATTTTTAAGAAAGAAGATATAAAACACGCTAAGTAGGCAAGTTGTTTCAGAAGAAGGAAAAAGCTAGCATGCCACACACAGCCTCCAACATTTTGGATCCCTTCATTTTTTCCCCCCCAGCTTTCTCAAAGTCTGAAGTTTTGTCTGATCTTTAATCAGACTAAAATTAAGTGCCCCCAGTTTTACCAGTATTCTTTTACTCTGTCCAGAGAGCCCCTTGTGCAACCAGTGCTTCTGCTATGGTACAGCCATGCTACTTCTCGCTGGGACCAGCACAGCTCACCCCAGCACTCCACTTGGGAATACTCCCACCCCATCCTTGCTCCTGGTGGGATCATAAATCCATTCCAACAGCTCTAGGTGGCCACCACATAAGCCATCTGTTCAGAAAAAGCAGAATGGAAGAAATTACTTTTGAGTTTGAATGTTTCATATATTTTAAAAAAGAAAAAAAAAAAAGGAAGTGCAAAGTTTGGAGTTTGAATTCTCAAAGAATGGACAGGTTCTCTTTAACCACAGCACCACAACAAAAATGCTATCTGAAAGCTCTTTCAGGAGATGAAATACAACTCTAGCCTTGGTGCCTGGATCATTGTTTTTATTTACAAGATATGGTGCTTGAGCACAGATAGTAATAGTTGTGCCTTATGCCTTAGTCAAAGGAGCTAAAGGTATTCCCTTGGCACTCCTCCAACACCACCATCAGCAAAAACGGCATTAGGAGATAGTTTGATCTCCTAATCTTTAACATGAAAGACACTGTCAGTTTACACACCAACCATTTCGTACCAGTTTAGCACACCTGGCAGCTCAGGCATGTAAGAGAAGTATCTGATAGCCTATCTTTCATGTTTAGAAAA